TGACTAATTATCTGCTTGAGAAATCTGGTTTAACACCCTACTCCCCCCCCTCTAATGGTAATTCTTGCATACGGTCCCTAAACTTTGAATCGATGATCAYCCTTGGAAAAAGACATAAATTCAGAACAACCCAAATCGCTATTCTTTGCGGGCTTTTGTTTGTAGCGACCGCATTGGATGCCGGCAATTACCTGTGGCGGGAATTACTTCACCGCGTTTCTCGTTTTCGATACTTTCTTTGTTTACAATCACGTAATAATTCAAAAGCTTCACTTCGATCGAAATGAAATGTAACATTTGTAAGGTCTTGTAACCCTTTAGAGCATTAAAAACTACGTATGATATTATGCACAATTTAGAGTTCGTAGAGATGCCATATTATGCCAGATACGATTTGAAATGCGTGATATTTTTAAGAATATGTGCGGCAGCCATTTGGAAGATGCTATCATGTTTTGTCTTCGAGTCAAATGTCTGAGATGAAGGCAAATCCAATATTTCCGATCACTTTTTACMAGAAGTATACGTAAATGAATACGCCTCAGGACTTAATATGAGACTACAGTTTTAAATTATTACTACTGACTTTTGTCTCGCTTTTTGTACGTGACTGTATCGTGTGACACAATTTTTAATTTTTTAAAAACCTGAATATCTCGGTTAAAAAAGCTTTTTATGAGCCCATGGCTCCAAAWTTCTTCTTTTAATAATGATTTAGCTGGCATATATATGCTTGGCGTTTATATTTAATATACATTTGACATATCAGACTCCTGAACTGACGAAGAATAGGTCACTACGGCTGTAATAAGCATGGATCAATTTCAAGTTGCGGTGACGTTTTGAGAAGGCATAGGCTCCTTCAGTAATGCATTATATATGCTAAAAAATCTTCTAAATAAATTGCTGTCTCTTCGACTCTCAAACATTATCGCTGCACTTCACTCGAAAAGGCGCGCAGCAAGAGATCTTAATATTGTTTTTTCCACCATGAACAATTCTGCAGAACCTGACTTCGAAAGACTTGGAACGCCTTATGCCATCTTGTTGATTTCTATCAACGTCTGCACCTCCCTTGTGGCCTGCATCTTGAACCTCTTAATCATATTGACTTTTGTAAAGTCACCTTCAATGCGAACACCTTCGTTCTTTCTTATTCTTTGTTTGGCCATCGCTGATTTTGGTGTTGGGTCTCTGGTGCAGCCGGTTTATTGCATTGAATTGTTTGCCAGAATGAATGAAGCGCGTGAATTGCTTTCTTATGCGGCGTCGTTTAGATTGGGAAGTACATGGGTCTTAGTGGCTTCATCTTTTCTGACGATTACTGCCATCACCATAGACCGTTTCCTTGCTATTCACTTAAATTTAAGATATCAAGAAATTGTCACAACCAAGCGGTCATGTATAGTTGTGGTCGTTATTTTCATAGTTAGTCCGTTTGGAATTTTTGCTGGACTACGCGGGCGTTTTCCTGTCGTCAAAATAATCTTTGCTTCTCTTATTGTGATTCTCTTACTGCTCAACATATTCCTGATGGCAAAAATTTTTCAAAACGTAAGTAAACATTCAGCAAACATCAGAGCTCAAGGAAAATCGGTGGCACTGCAGGGAAGCTTGAGCCTTTCACGATATAAGAAGACAGTGAACACAATGTACTATATCATTGGGGTGTTTGGAGTTTGCTACATTCCCGTCGCTAGTATAAACATCGCACTAAACATTTCTAAACTCAAGCTACCCTTTCCTATCGCTTTTTACTTAGTACATGTACCTATAACGCTAATGTTGATAAACAGTGCCTTGAATCCAGTAATCTATTGCTGGAGAATACAAGACATGAGAAACGCTGTTTTGCACCTGTTTCGAAAACCATGACCCTTGATTACTGATTAACGACCGAAAACGGCATAAAWCAAGATAGCGGCATGAGATAACCACAGTCATCATTGATCTTGTCATTATAGATAAATTGTAAGTTGAATAAATTTTTTGGCGCTCAGTCCACTGAAAATGTTTTGTTTGTAGTATTGTTTGCATGACAAAAGTACTTTCTTTTCTCATTGCCCCAGTTCAACTCAGGTATAGACTCTGCGACGCATGTACAATTGATCGTTTTCAACCATTCCGTTGAAATTCAAAGGTAAAAGACTGGCGTCCAAGTTGGGGGAATGAACAATAGATACTAATAAGAAATCCTTTGTTGAAGTTCCTCCAAGATGGCCAATGTGACGTATAGTGAAAACGAAGAATAAGTACGGTACAAAACTAAAACAATCATTGATTCAGGAATATTTTTTAATTTTTTTAAATTTCTGACAGTTATCGTGTTCACTTCCAGAACAAATTGATTGCTGATGAGGAAGGTTTAACTCCACTAAACCTTTGCGGGAGTTTGGCGTTTGTAGATCAAAAAGTTAAAAAGTTCTTTGTGGTCTTCGGTTTTTGAAGACGGATTGGCATATAGTATGGCTGAGCACTTGGTAAAATCTTTCATAAATGGTTCCTTATTAAACTTTAATAACGGACAAAATCACGATAGTTGATACACAAAAAAACCGTATTTATATTATAAAAAAGAAACATATTTAGGAATAAAAAAGACGCGTTGTCGTTTCAAGTAGTGGGATTAAATAAAGTGAAGCATCAAATCTCATGTACAAATTTGTAAGAAAATAACTACAGGAATCAAGAACAAGTGTCAATAACTCTTCAATTGCTGACACAGTTCGAGGTAAAAAATGGAGGTTTCAGTATGCAGCTGTTTAGGAAACGATGATTGATGATGCATGATAGCTCCTTAATTCGTAGCCTACCGTTTTGTCGGGCTTCCTATCCCTACAGGAAGCCCAACAAAAGGGTAGTGCGAGTTAGACTACAGAAATAAGAGCGAATGTATACTTTATTCATTATTATTTTGAGTTTCCAAAGCTTGTCACTCTGATATATAAGTTATTCGTCGGAATACGCTCAWACTCGGTCATCATGATCATCCGGCTATGATTTCAGTTTGGCTTCTGGGATTCGTTCTTTGTTTGCTTCAAACGCCACCAATTCAAAAAGGACAATTCAGTCTGAAAATTAATTATGTAAAAGGCCTACGGGGCCACTTCAATTTCAACTAAACGACGTCCTCAGCTYGGTTCTTTGTCGTCACCCCAATGCATGTATACGTCCTTAAGAAAGTCAGTTTATATATAAAGGCCATGAATTATTAATGTATAAAAGAGCGTACTTGAAGTTCAGATGATATAATCGCACCTAATTCACCTGAACAGCGAGTATTGGATATTGTTATCATATTTTGACTAATCCATAACAACTCGACTAAAAGGGCCTACTAAGACCAACTAAAGRGGCTTGAGGTGAAAACATGATACTCCAGTCAGACAATATGATATGCCGAACTTTGAATTATCCTTTTTCTTTCTGATAAATAATTGAGGAAAGGCCTTTTTATTTATAATTATAAAATTTTTGATATATAACGCGCGCTCTGATTGGCTGACGACCGTGTTTATATCAGAGGACAGAGACACGGCTTACCGGCAAAATTTTCTTTTCGCTCGAAATATTTTATAAAAGAAATATAAAACGGCCGCTTGTGTCTCTGTCCTCTGATATAAACACGGTGGGAGTTGAAAAACACTCGAGAAGCAAGAGAAACACTCGCTACGCTCGTGTTCCTAAGCTTGCTTCTCTCGTGTTTTTCGAACTCCAACCGTGTTTATATCAGAGGACAGAGACACGCGCGTCGTTTTATATTTCTTAAATAAATAAATAAATRAATAAAGTTAAATATACATAAAGTTAATGCTCCTGATGAAATAGAATTAAAGAGTAAGAAAATTGAAAAGTTGAACTTATTGCTTGGGCTCCCTGTGTTGGAGACCGACGTTCGGCAAAAATATAGCGAAATACTGCTCAATATGCAAASCTTTTTTGACTGATTGCTTAAATTGGTTGTTTGTTTGATTGGATTTAAAAAAATATGACCTAAGTTAAAAGACAATGCACATTTTYGTTACTGACAACAAAATTTATACCACCCTCCCCTCCCTACAGTCTTTTTGAATACATTTGAACGAGGCTAMCTATCATTTTGGCGGATCTCTCGAAGGACAGTCAACTTTGGCAGCCATCTTGGTGTGCTTGTGAATATTATTGCCAAAATGGCCACAGAAAGCGAACCAAAGAATCTATCTGAGGTACAACCATATGTGTATATGTAATAACTAATTATTTAGGTAACTAAATCCTGTTTATCTTTGCTCTACAGATGTCAGAGGAAGAAAAATTTCGAGCAAAATTTCCAGGCCGAAAGCCGACTACCACAGATGTTATGAGAAAACGTTTGCAAAAAGGAGGTGTAAGTTTTACCTTAAACGATAATATCAATCGTTTAACTGCATTTATACAGCTCCTTAGACAATTACGTCTCCTTTTCTAGGTTAAATATTTCGACTCTGGAGACTACGCAATGGCGAAGAGCAGCGAAAAGAAAGGTCCCATTCCACATCGACCTAATCTTGATGTATTAGGAGTAGGACGAGGCATTCCTACTCCAGATAAAATTCCTCACAGAAAATCATCTGTACCTAGTAAGTTGGTGGAAGGACAGCAAGCACATGTAGAAGTTTCAAACTGAAACCTTAAATGCTGGTGATCTTGTAATCGATGTGCATGGCTGATGTTTATAATATTATCAGCCATCAAAACATACGTTAATTAAGATTTACATGTATATAAACCACAGATGTCGCTAGTACATTATATATTTTTAGTTTTGAGAAATAACTGGTTGATTTTAATACTATTTGGCATCTGTAATATATTCTATTTTTACATTTTTTATTCAAGTGGTTTAAAAATATCTGCTTTCATGCTATGGTTTTAGGTTAAGAATATTTAAGTTTATTTGAGTTTTTATTTGTTTTACTGCAGAAAGCAAACCCATTGTCAGGCAGTGGGTTCTCAACTATAAAATAATGTAAATGTTACTTTGCTACTGTGTATTGTATCAAATTTTAGGGTATTTGGCACTGCAGTTGCAAAGAGAGCTCTCATCAATGCATAAAAACATTCTTGCAGATTTTAAGAGAAATTACATCAAGTCATAAAGAGCTGGGTTTCCTGTGTTGTTAGATATGACAAAGCTCTCAAAACGTTTATCTTGATGTGGGGTTAAATCTATTCACAACCCTGACATATACAAGCTCTAAGCAACAAATAAAGTAGGCACAAGAAGATTGCTTGCTATCACTTCCAAATTACCTATATGGACATCCGGCTGAGAACAGGTCCACAGGAAACCCATCCAAATTATTGTTACTTTTCAAGAATAGGGCAAATTTTCTTGTGACAAGTGTTTCTCTATRCCAATTTTTTCCCTTAAGAATACCGATACATGTTTATTTTAGTAGAGAATTGTCAGTCAAATTGTGCACATAAAGAAAATAATGACAACTACTCGCAGCCTTTGAGGATTTGAAGGCTGTGGAGGCTTCATTGTTAAATGGAAATATCGAGGCAATACAAGTTGTAAATTAAGTTTACATAATATGTGAAATTAGGCATGGACAGATCAACAAAGGATATTGTTTATGCCTTTTCCAGTTAAAGACAGAAAACTGACTGTTTTGTTTGATTCTCTCCTTAATTAAGAGTTACACATCATAAAATGTTATCAAATGAATGTAATAACATTTTAAAATTCCTAAAGGAGTTCTTTATTTTCTTAAAATTGAGGATAATCCAACGCTAAAATGTTACATTTAGGAGTGATTTTCTCAGTAACTTTCTCTTWTAATATTTGTAGTAAAAACAAGTTTTTTTTCTAAATTTAATATCAAAATGTTACTCTGACTATTAGCTATGGATACAGTAACTAGTAGTACTTGCAAACTGGCGACAGTTAAGATGACTTTAGATTGATCTGCATGCTTTGTACAAAATGGAATATCAGAAAAATTACAATTTAGTGACATATTTGTTAAATTGAGGTAATAAATGACTTCTACACATTTTTAGGGGGAATTTCCTTCACTTTGGTGTTAGACAAACACTGCATGTTATCTTCAACTAATCAATTAACCAATGTAGACTGAGATGTCTTAATGTGTCCTATTAAAAAGTAAAAACATAGTATAAATAAGATAATAATGTAAGGCAATTCATAATCATAGAGTGCTTACATTGTGTCCATGAAATACAATCTATAGTTACTACCTAATAGTTCTTATTTAGTGACTATTAGTTGCTATCACTCAACTGGAACAGTTGTAATGATGAATTGTATTCATTGATGAATTTGTATTCATTTTCCCAAGTGTACAGAATGTATTGTTACCAGTACTAAGACTGTTCCAGTTGAAGGATAGTGACTAATAGTGAGTCACTAAATACAAACTATTTGTTAGTAACTATTTAAATTTTATTTCATGGTTTTATAGTGTAAACATTCTACTATAGTAGATCTTTAGTAAATATATACCTAGACTAATTGATCTTAGAGGTAATGGCCTACAGATGTTTTGTTCATATACATGTACTCACTTTCTCCAGTTGCCCCATAATGCATTTTGATTGCTCCATTTTTGAATGCAAAGCGGATAACTGCTGTTTTATTTGACAGCAGATTCTCTTATGCAATTACGGACTAAGGCTTATTACAAAAGACTTGAAGATTTGCATTTTCTCTTAGTTGAGACTAACCCTGTATTCTAAGGTTTAAGCCTTCTGGGAATATAGGATTACCCACAACTTTGGGAAAATGTGAATTGTTAGTGCTGTTGTAATGTACGTAACACCATTTTCTCATGCTTTCTTCTGTGTTTGGTGAGGTTTTGGTGCAAGAGAAACTATTGGAAATTATATTCCTTACAATTTTTCATGTTTTCTAATTCAGTCGTAATCCATTTTTGGATTTTCTTTAAAAAAAATAGTACTTATAAAGACTGTTTCTTTCAATGAAAAAAAAAATGTTTTTAGGGACTTTAAAAAAGTGCGAAGAGTACAACTCCCATCATGCTTTAATGTATAATGGTGTCTGCATATTCTCTTGTGCATTCTGGGTCAATTTTCATGATGATCTACAGTATGGACACTGTGCAGGCCTTGTGTTCATTTGTTCACAAATTATCTTGTCCTTAATGTATCAAAGAAATTAATACTTTGTTTAGATTTACATATAAGATTGAAA